GCATCGCTACTTTCGTCGTAGTAGTAGACATCCACAACTTTAGCACAAAGTTCTTTAGAAAGGTTATTCCATCCACAATGGAACAAAGGAGCCTACACAAAACCTTATCTATTGCCAAGAGACAATTCAAAGATACCATTGGGAGTGAAACATGGACGTTCCGTATTAGGAGAGGAAAATTAATTATAATAAGGTATAGATAAGATATTTGTATTATTGACACATAGAAATAGATAGTTAAAACCATGGAAGTTTCTAGAATTGGGATTAGATTAGTCGATTAGGTAGGATCTACCATAGAACATTCTAAAAAGAATTTAGGGCAATCATTTAAGTAGAATCTACTACCTATAAACATTCTAGAAAGTCCAAGGTGGTAGAACGAAGTATAAATAGGACTTGCCAAGGCCTTTTGGAGTATCTAGTCAGGTATGGCTTTGGACTTTTTTTCTTAATATAATTGGATTTTGTATCTTTTTATTTTGTTTTGTTTTGTTTTGTTTTAATTTTGTTTGCTCAATTTTGTCTTCCATATTTCATTCTATTTAGCTTTACTCAATTTTGTACTAGTCCAATTTGTCCTATCTTATAATGAGGTTTTATATTACTATGGATTAAAAAGGTCTTAGACATTTGAGATAGACCAATCTTGTTTCAGAGTGGCCTAACAAGAATATGCAAGCTATGAATCTTTTGAAGGAATTTAAAAGGAAATATTTTTGATTATTAAAGATAGAAAAATTAATTATGAAGCCAAATAAGCTTAAATTTTTTCTTTGAGCAATTGATGGAGAATTGCAAGAGAATTTAAAAATTCTTCTTTAAGATAAGAAAGAACATAAAGGATTGACAACAAAATAGAAAAAAATTGAAGATATTGTAGGATTACTCATAAAGAGGAAAAGAAGAAAGCATAGGATTGGAATTCAAAGAATTGGACAAGTACCTAAAACTCAAGTATCTACTTCATGATCAAAAGTACCTATTATTCAACCTCGAATACTTACATCAAAAAAAGAAGACATGGAACTTGAGAAGATTATACATGGAATATGAAATCTTCAAATTAAAATTTTAAAGCTTGAAGAAAAGACTTCTACAACAAATTCTAAGGCTACTTTTCAGCAAGGATATGTGCAAAGATGTATTTGGTGTAATGATGATTTTCATTCTTGAAAAGATTGTGGTGAGTTTAATGAAATGACGTAACAAGGTATTATTTTTTGAAAAGATAGAAAGGTAGCATTGAAGGATATTAGTACTATAAATACCATCACACTAATTGATCTCATATCAACAGTTACGATCTCAAAGAATAAACCATGGTTACTTTTTTCAACATTCATTCTTTGATATCTTTTATGTAATAAGTGTGCACACAATACTATATTGGGATGATGTTGTATAAAGCATGAAAAATTATGATACAAATAGGAATGGAGGCTTCGAGAGATATACAAAAGAACAAAAGAACACCAAAGCAACAAGTCTCAAAGAATTGCACCTTTAATAAAATATGGATGGTGGTAGCAATTTTTGCAATTGAAACACTACTTGATACTTGCTTGAAAATTAATTCCTCCACTTTACACCAACTCCAACAAATCCAATTCAAGTTTAGAACATGTAGACAATATGGATACCAACATAAAACAAGACTTTAGATCATTGCATTCAATAGCTCTTTGCGGATATAGAAAATGAACAATTATCAACACAAATAGCAAAGAATAGAATCACATTGAGCACCTCAACAAAAATCTTATCATTCTAGTTACAAGTGACTATGATATACATGTTGTCATTATCTCAATATCACACTAAACTTGTAACTTCTTATATATGCTAATATGGTGGCTATAGACATCACCAACAATGATTTCTTTAGATTAATTAATAATTCCTACCAAACTAAGCAAGAGTGGAGTAATAGGCTAGAACAAGATGACCACAATATGAACATACAATCAACACAAACAAAAGTTGGATGAAGAATTTGTCACACTTCAAAACAACAACTCCATATCTTAACATAGGTACAAATCCTTAGGAATAGCCCTTAAGAAGAAAATTACATCTTTTTGCAGTATTTCATAGCAAATTATCTATTTCTTAATTTTTATGAAGAAAATATTCAATTTTGGTGTCCATATGCATTATTTTCACTTTTACTTTTAATTCCAATGGATTATTCTACTAAATGGATAGAGCATCTATTTCTTAAGCATAAAGTTATAGATTTGATTCTTATTTGGTGCATAATATGTGTAAATGAATTATTTGATTGTGGTGTGTAATTTGACTTATTGGTTTTGTTGTTATTTGTTTAGTGAGCAATAAAACAGAATATAATAATACTCTCTATAATATGCATACATCCTTACTCATTATGCCATCTTCACTTCTTTATCAATCCTTATTCTACATGCATCAATTTTTTGTCTTTTTAATATATCAATTCATCTTATTTATACTACATAAAAACTAAAGTTTTTTTTTTCAATCAATCAATCAATAATAATTTTGTAATTTAATATTGCATCAAGTAATTGAATTAGATTTATAAAACTACTAATTTGGTATCAATTTTCAAGTTCTCAATGTTTAGAATAGTTTAGTTAACAACTCAAATTTTAAAGGATTTCAATTCTTTAACCAATGTTGCAACTTATGAGGAATTTTTATTAACCTAAAGACTACTAAGATTTCTAATATAATTGTATATTATAAAATCTATTGCAATGTATATGAAGATCAATGTATATATTACTTTCTATTGTCCTTTTAATGGATAAGACTTTGGTGCAAGAATTTGAATAAGTTTTAGTTTACAAAGTATGGTCATTTAATGGATATGCCATTATTCCAAAACAATTAAAAAATATATATAACAATCTATATTTGTCAAATAAGTAGCCTCTCCTCGCAATTCAATTGTTTGACTTTTAAGTTTAAGTGGCTTTAGTAATGAAATTAAGGATTTTTATTTTTTTATTTTTTTTCATGAATACATGAATGGTTCATTTCAGTTACCTTGTATTATTATTACAATCACAACAATTTCTATTATCACTAATGACATGCAACAACAACATATAGAAATGTATTCAAGGGAGTGGCCCTTGGAGGATGTGAAGAAGGGATGAAGCACCGATTTTATGGATGAAGGGCAATAAACCCACAGAAGCGGACATACACACACATAAATATAAATAAAAATACATATATTTTACACACACACTCGAAACAGTGAAAGAGAGAGAGGTAGAGAAAAAAAGGGCGGTGGGTGGTCACCTCGGTATCTCCGCTTTGTGGGGCCACCGCCGATGCCTACATCAGTTCCCCGCGTCTCGTTGGTGGCTGGTGATGCAGGAGCTTAAGCAGCAGGACCCACTCAGCAATTGCTACAAACGGTAGAGAGAAGGCAAGGCGGAAAGGAAGGGAAGGGAAGGAAAGGTGAAGGAAGGAGAGCCTCATGCTGGCTGGCTGGCAGGCTTTGCATTTTGTTCTGTCGCAAAATAGTCACCAGATCCAACTTTATGGCCGTCGTCGTCCAATGTCAAGTGGGTAACAGATCACGCTCATCAGAGCAGGCCGAACGCCTTTTTTCCCGTTCCCAGTGTCACTATTTCTTCGTCCAGTGGGAGCGTCGACGATGAGGTGGAAAATTCTCTCTTCGTGATGAAAGTATCTAGGTTGTGACATTTTTTTATTCTTCTTCTTGTCTTGGAGATTCATCAATCAGGATAAGCATGAGTTGAACAATGATGTTGGATATAATCAATTGCGCGTATGTGATTGTGGTTTGGAATTCGGTGGGTTTGAGTTCGTGCTTCCGTGTGCGCCATCTGTCTCAGGGGAGAGAGATCCACCGAGTTGTGTTTTGTTTTGTTTTATTTTGGTGTTTTGTAACATCGGAGAGTCATAATCTCCTTGCAAGCTCTATCTTCAGGCAAGATAGGGATTCCTAGGCTGACATCTGAACTGCCAAGTCCTTGGTACCAACCTGCCATTGTCTTCGTGGTTTAAGGTCATTGCAGATCGATACAATAGGTTTTGTAAGGGAAATTCAGAAGTGACGGGAAGACCAGCTTTGCGGTGCTCAACAATCTAAGTCTGTGGCTCTGCAGGAATGGATATGTTTGTTCACTCATCGTGAGAAGTGATAACTGACGTGACACTATTAACCAAACATAATAATAATAATAATAATAAAAACAGAAAGGAAAAAGAGACCCTATCAAGATCTCTTTCTGTTCATCAAATTCAAAGTTTTTCAGACGTAGCTTGAAACTAGAATGGCTGACGAGCGAACTTAAATACGTCCTTCTTCAAGAAAAACATTAAAAAAAAAAAAATCATTTATGAATGCAATTGCAAGATTACACGCTTGCTTCTTCTTCTCCTTCTTCAGCATTATTTTTTTATTTTATTTTTATTTTTATGTGAATGTTAGCAACGGTGACGCAATATTTTTTCTACTTACATCCATGAACATTTACCATGCAGTTTTCCCCCTAAGTCAGAATTTCGAAAAATGTTTCACATCATGCTTATCACCGAACTACAATTATACCCATGTCTGCATAATTTAGACACTTGGTCTTTAACAACAAGTGATGGCTTGAAGCGGAGCAGGAGGCTTGCGTGTACTTTTCACACGCTGCTTGGTACATGGAAAAGCTATGGGGCGTTACTCACTCACATTGCAAGAACGAATCCCATGGCCAAAATACACGTCAGTGAGAAAGACGATGAGCAAGTCAGACATGGAGTCACGGGTTTGGGTGGGCAGCAAGGGACAGGGATCACGAGTAAAGCCCACAACGCGGAGTGATGGAGGCGGAGGAGGCCAAAGCAGGTTTTAGTTACCACGGAGGAAGAATTTATGGGGAACCTGGCAAAATCTGGCGACAATGAAGGAATGCTGAAAGCTCAAAAAAGCGAAGAGAGGTACGATGGTGATGAATTATGTCGTGCGCGAGCGGTGGAGTAGTAGCCATCGTCGTCGTCGTCGTCGTTGTAGTAGCAGTAGTAGTACCAGTGTGGTTGTGGAACGTGATGGTGGCGAAATTCATGTGGTAGCCCAGTGCGGTGTTGCTGTTGCACCACATGCTTCTGCAACTGCAGACGTGGCCCCTTCCCGAGCACAAGCACCGCTGTGACTCCACCACCAGCTCCATTTCCCTCTTCTTCCTCCTTCACCACCACTTCTTTCCCCCACTCCTCCCTCCCCACCTTCCACCCACAATATTCCTGACGCCAGATTCCCCGCCTTCTCATCTCCTCACACTTCTTTTCCTCTTCGCATCCCTCCCTGTATCCGGTTGGTTGGTTGGTTGGCTTTCTGTGTTTTTTTTCCGACTCTTGGTACAGGTTGTGATGTTGGGTTTATTGCGTTTCGGATTCCGTTGTGGGTTTGTGGTATTAGGTATTCTTGGCTCCGGGATGAGGTTTTAAGTGTTCGAGGTTATTCTAATTTTTCGTGGCGGTTCGTTTCGGTGTATTGGCAGCGGTTATTGAACTCGGTTGCGGGAACTCGGTCTCATCTCATCCGAGCTGGGTTCCAAGCACGGATGCCCCGGAGGTCGTTCCGCTTGCAGATTGGAACTGTGCGCCCGGTTGTCTCTGCTGGATTTCTGAAACTTGAAATTGTCGTTGACGCTTCTAGGTCGGTTCTTCATCAAGCTGCAACTTTGCCACGGAGGATTTTAATTCGCAATTAGCTGTAGGTCCGGTTGATGGACCTTTAATTTTTGAGAAACTCTCGTGGAACTTGCTGGGCGCTCTTTAGCGTGGAAGGAGTTATTCGAAGGAGGTTAGTGCGTCCAGAAATCTTTTCGCTGGAAGTGACAGGGGTAGTTTGTGCTGCGGCTGGTTGGAGTTTGTATCAAGGTTTGGGGCGGGTGGTTATTCATGAGACCCGGTTGCGAATTGGTTTTCAATTCGGAAAGGAATGCAAGGGTAGTGGAGTGCTTGTAGTGGAATGCACATGGTTGGAATGGCAACAAATTTCCCGGGCTTCTCCGACATTCCTCCAGGTTGCCCCCAGGGCTTTATGAATGTGGAAACAGAGTGATAACATTTTGCATCGGCTTTTCTCCCGACAAATCAGCTCCGGTCGTCCCAATACACATGTACTTGTTCAGAACTATTTGCTCAATTCTCAGTTTTACAGAATTTTAACAGTTGATATTTACCAACTGCTTCATGCGGCAAAACAAACGAAGTGGTAGGATGTTTTCTGCATGGAAGCAGTGAACGAGAATACATTTCTGATGTTGGGTTAGGTCGAAAGGCTTGGTCGCCATCTACACTTCATCTTATTTTTTGATTACACGGGCTGCAGACGATATACACTTTTTTTAACCATGAGCTAACTACGAGTTACTGGTGCGATAATCAGAGGGCATGCTTGATTCAATTGTTATAAGAAATAAAGAGGTCGACAGCCTAGTTTATCCACCTCGATACATTTACAGAGAAGCTTGAAAACCAGATGCTCTAGGAAAGATCGTAATCAGGAAGATATAAAATGTGTCGCTGGTAGTCCTAACTTCTACACGTTGCTGCAGATACATAGGGTACGAGAGTTGTATGAGAATGTCGTGCCGAGCCACACGGTATATGAGGTGGATTGTCCCGATCAATGTTGGCGACGGTTCACCAACGACGGACAATACTTAATATGTTTCAGTAAGACATATCATGACTTACTCATCTACCGGCCTCTGTGGCCCACGTATTGTTCCACATTGGATTCAGCCAACGATCTGCCATCGAAGAGCAAAAAGTTTGAAAGTTATTTCAGCTTGCTCCATCAAATCCCTCTTGCAAGAGATGCCGATGAGGTCATTTGCAAGGACTTTTTCTTATGCACGGAGAACAACTTGTATGGCATTTTTGCCACATCAACTGATCCAGATCCCAATGCCGCAGCTTCAAATGGCTCCGTGCCAGGAGTGCCCAGTATTGAAAAGATAACATTCCTTGTGGTCCGCTTCGCTGATGGGGTTATTACGGGGCGGTCCGTCTTTAAAGATGACTACATCCATTTAGCTCACAATGCTGGTGTTTTTCTGCACGAGGATCTGCTGGCTGTATTGTCAATACGCTTCCAGTGCATTCACATTCTGCAGGTTCGAGAAGGAGGACTCTTCTTAGACGTGCGCAGCATCGGTGATTTCTGTCGAGATGATGACGAGCTTCTTCTTAATTCTCAGGCTCAGGTTACATTCTATCCAAAATTTCTCTCTTGGTCAGTGTTTAGTTCGGTAGGTTTTGAGAGATGCATGTGATTGTTTTCGCTCTCTAGGTGTCGTTCTGCCTCAGTCGATGTGTAGAATGTGTTAATCTGCTTTCGGGAGTGCATGTGTCTTGGCAAGACCGTCTTGTATACGCGATGACTTTTCCTTGCTGCTCACGAACAGAAAACGTGTAAATAACGTCAGTTTTCTGAGATGTTTGGTATCATGTCCTACAGTTCTAGAGTCTCCTGCACACACACACACACACACATCCCCTCTCCCCCTTTTCCCGCGTTCATGGTTTTGTAAATTGAGGTGGTTTGTATCACTTTAACTTGACACAAGCGGATTCCTAGTCTGTTCTGGTTTTCGGTTTCTGGAATGGTCTCTGGACATGCATCGAATTATGTACTGACCTTTTTGGGATGGTAGGCTGAGGCCAAATTTCAGGAGGAGCAAAGACAACAGTTGAAAGCTCGAGGTCGGGTTCATGAAACTGAAGTGTTGGTTCCAGTTCCTCAGTCAATCAAGACCAATGGGCTTAAACCTTTGAACACTTTAAATGACAGAAAGCGTCCGCGTATTCGGGACAGTAGAGCTGCACATGATGACTTTGGCACTTCCCGGGGTCATCCTCAGTTTTTTGGTGAAGGGAGTGTTGCTATTCAGGAGATTGACATTCTCTATGACGGTTACTTTCGAGGCCTTTTTACTGTTGCAGATGGACCCATTGCTGATGCGGGCAGGATACACGGAAATGGTGGTATGAGGACGCATTCAAATGGAGAATACAACAATCACGCTCTTGGTAATCCTCACATCCGCGGGTTTCGTTCTCATTTAGGAGCAAACCCGAGCAGACATTCGAATAGCAACAATCATGTTCGGACGTTTCCGGCATCCGAAGAGGCTGGTAATCATACAAGCTTGGAGTGGCGTCATCTCGTTTCTGACAGGGATCACTCGAGCTACGACATTTCACATGGTCGCCGATTTGAAACAGTGGCGCAGAACGGTAGTCGTGAAAATCTGTCAGGACGTCTGCTTATTTCAGCGAGGGATCGTGCTACGTATGACAACCCAACCAGTCGATGGAATGGGAACAACTTGTCTTCTAGCGGAAACTTGTATAGTAGTGGTGGTAGTGATTTAGCCAGCCACAGTTATAATTCGACCACCGATCGTGGATCTTCCGAAGCCACCACCCTTCATGAGCTATCCAGCCATAGAGAAGAGCCAGGTTCTAGCGAAAGACGTTATCGTCCTGTGCCTAGTTTATCCACAAGTGGGCGATCAATGGCGGCTCCTAACAATCTTTCGAGGTCGGTGTTTCGTGATGATTTCAGCTTAGATGATCCCTCCATGGGACGCTCTAGATCTAGATTAGGGGGTGAGGATCAGGTCACCAACAGTTCTGGGACTTCTCTAGGTAGAGTAGGGCAGACAGGATCAGGTAATTTTGGAACTTCTTATGCTACGATTGGACAAGACAATGCGAGGGGAGATGGGACCCAAACAGGGAATGCAGCTGCTACAGGGACGGGTGGAAATGAAGTACAGGAAGGAAGCCAGATATTGCGTGGGCTGAAGCAGCGCCTGTTGTCATTTATCTTGCAGGGTATTGTTGACGATGAGGACATATCTCCTGCTGTCGTACGTTCCTCTCCATATCTATCTTGGGCAGTTATGTTGGTTTCCACAGCATCTGTCAGCCGATATCATACCTCTCTCCCGTTCTGTAGGTTCTTAAATTTGATCCCAACTGCTGGCTCTATGCATCAATTTTTATTTGTATGAACGGCTCATTTTCTTTCCTTCTGAAACAGAAGTCTCAAAGACTCAAGCGCTTCTATTTTAATTTCCAGCAGTATGTGGACCTGGTGATGTGGAAGGTGTGTTGAATACGCCTCATTTTTATGTTTATTTTTATTTTTTGGGTTGTTTAAGTTGACCTGGTTTGTTTTTATTCTGCTTTCATTTTGACACTTTTTGTGAGTCGTAGTACGATGTATGAAATGTCCTGAAAAATGCTAGAAATCTGACTTCTGTTTTAAATTACGACAGGTTCAGTTCCTAGATCGATGCCACTTGCTTGTAAAGTTTGGAAGTGTTAATGGAGTGGTAAGCATTATTGGAGCCTTTTCTGACCTACATATCTACTTCGATGTTCTTGAACAAGTAATTGTGCACGCGTTTTTTGTGTCCTGGCGCTGCATTCCTTACCTCGTAATGTCCATCCTGTATTCCGTAAATACCCGGATGTTTATTGGCTTCTTTAATTCTGTTTGAAGTTATCGGTGTTTCAGTTTAAGAATGTGAACACCCTGTTTATTTTATTTTATTTTTCTTTGTGTAATATAGGTACTTCGAAACTCTGAAACGTCGCATCAAATTGCTTTTTTGGCTGTATACAACATGGAAACAACGGAGATATTAAGCTTCTATCAGGTACACCCAGTACTTTTAGCATACTTGTTCTACGTTCATTAATTTTATGGCTCATTCTTCTTCATGCTCTCTTCACTCTGTGGAGTACATCGCTGACGTGTAATTTACTCAGCAGAATTCATCCGAGGAGTTACTACAGTTAGTAGAGCAATATTGGGATCACTTCAGGATGGTTCCGCAGAACCCTCAGTACATGAGATTCATTTCCAGTTACGCAAATAATGGCTTCGCTCGTGAGCAGTTGCGTAAGCAGAAAGCTGCATGTCTTTCTGGCAAAGCTGGTAGCTATGCTCAGGTAAATTTTTAAATTTTCACTTTGATGTATGTCACCTCAAATTGTTCGTGTCCTCGTTAGTTCTTTTTCCGTCAACGTTTTTGACGTTTCTACTTCATGCAGAGCATCAAGAGAACTCTGGCCTCCCTGCCCCATAACTCTCAATCTCAAAGTCCATCTGCATATTTTGATCAGTACCTATTCCACTATGACGAAAAGGTGAAATTTCTTAAATAGGTTCTACTTTTTGACCTTCATTCTGAATTCTGAGAACGATGAATTTGATATGTTTCATTATCGCCTTCTAGATTTCCGATTTCTATTAGTGGTTGTCAGTGTCACTGTTCTCAGGCTTTGAAACGCTTCTAACATGCTGATTGTTTGGCTATTTCCCAGTTAATATCTTCAACCGATCGGCATAAACCATGCGCAGAACATCCAATCAAATTCGTTTCTAGACGTCGACCGAATCTACTGAAATTTAAGATCAACCCTGGTATGTTCCATGGTGCTCTTGCTTTCTTCAATATGTGTTAGAAAGCTGCTTATTTATTGCTGAATGCGGTTATTTAAGTTCAAATTCTGTAGATATGTTTGTGTTGCCGATTAATATATCTTCATGTCTACCTGTCTGTTTACATATGATTTTACTCTGCAATCAAGAACGTGTGGCCTGAAAATGTGGGAGCGTACGATTGGGTGTTGTGTACAGGATTGGAACTTGGTTCTAACGATGGACACATCAAGCGAGTCGCTTCTTACTTGTTCCATCCCATTTATCCTTTCGCCATCTCAGTTCAACAATCATTCATGCAAACCTCCATTGTGAACTTTCACTTTAGACGTTAACTTTGTAATGCTGACAGCTTTCGACATTTAATGAGTGCACACATTTTTCAGGAACTACAATTGCTACCGTATGCTATCTCTGCGCCTGTTTGATTGTATGGTGACTACTTTGTGCTTGATGGTCGTGGCTTAAGTGCAGTTCCAACTAGGGCACCCTCCCCCGAGTTTCGGACGAAGTGAAACTACGGCCTGCATATCTAGTGTATTGACAACATTTTAGATGACCAAAGAACTCATCTCCTCACCCCCACATGAAATCTCTTTAGGGTGTCGTGGTTTCTTCTCAAACACCCATTCTTTCTTTCCCCTTTTTACGGATTTCATTAGCATGCTACGTTCTAAGGTGGTTGTGCTGATGCTTCCGTGTCTTTGTGTAATGGAGCGAGCATTTGAAGATTCGATTGGAAATGTCTGTAGTTTTGATAGTACTGAATTTGTATTTAATCATGAGCGATTTGTCGTCCTTTGATGGGGTGGAATTTTTATAATCAAGGCGTGATAATGAATGACAACGAGCCTTTTGTGCAATCAATATGAAATTGGAAGGTGAAGGCTAGCTCGTTGTAGTGTGGGTCACCATTAGGTGTCGTATACAGTGATGATTGTATTTTGACACTACCCAGTAAACAATGTCTCCATGGCCTCTCTTACCTGGCTTCCTGAACCCTGATCTGGTGCAGAGCTGAGTCGTTCCCACCTGCTCTCATCTCCTAATACCGAAAGGTGCTAAGTTTACTAATGCTTGATTTCACGAGGATTACCAGACAGATCCTTTTTATCTTATTCCTGCTGGCACTGCAAAGTTTGTAATTGACCAGTACGTAGGTTTGAATTATTAAACATCCATAAGGTAAATAGCATTCTCTGATTCCATCACGATGAGGTGAAGTGTGAGAAAATCAAGATGAGAAAGGAAATCACTTGCCATCGAGCCCTCGTAGTCTTCTACTGTTAACCTGGCAGCTTCTGGTAAGATGAATGCGCGCAAAATAGGCACGTGAAAAACTGTTGATTAAATTTCACAAACGGACGAGATGCTTGTAAACGATTACTTGGCTATCACGGATTTTCAGCTACAACAGAAACAGCAGAAGTGGAGACAACTGGCACTTGTGGAATCGTATCTTGGTAACTGTAGGGGCCGTGTTTCCACGGAACCTGGAGGAGCTTGTGCAAGACCATCCGAGTACTTACGTTGCACTTACCTTTTCTTGACACGAGATTTCCCGACGTTTCTTCACTGCAGGGAGTTAGCCGTCGTCGTGGAGAATTCAATAAAGAGGTCTTTTTGGGACATAATGGAAGGTCAGGTGGGTCTGGTTTTTCTTCCACTTGCTCCATATTTCTTGGTGGAGCGGCTTCAGGACGAGCTTAAGCATGAGGATAGCACTGAAAGAGGCAAGTCAGTGAACACGTCCAGACATATCCGTGGGAGGAAGTATCAGTGATGGCAGTGGTGTCCGTGCATGCACTCATCCTTTTTTGCACTTGAATTTGTGGAGGTGATCAGGCAGAACTTGTGCACAAAAACCATTTGAAGTAAACACTGGCAGTTACTCTGCGCCGCTTCACTCGAGTAACACTACATAAAAGGTTGCATTGCCAAAGTAAACGTCAGCAGCACATAATCTAGAAAGTCAGTCCCTAAACTGATCCTCAATCCACAACAATCCTGACAAAGATCAGCAGCAGTCTATAAATTCCATTTTTGAGGTGAGAGTTATGGGTCCCTTGCCAGTGTAAAAAAAAGAGTAAATTTTAAAATTCCTTCATCATCTCACATGTCTGGTTGGTGTAGTTGGTTATCACGCCAGTCTCACACACTGGAGGTCCGCGGTTCGAACCCGCGATCAGACACTTTGAATTATGTCCAGGGAGTTCTATTGTCAAATCTGGTTGACTACAAATTTACTATTGTAGCAAAAGATCGTAATTTTGACCCTTGCCCGGCGCAGTAGCAAAAGATGCCAACTGCTCTACGCGTTGTTTTTGAAAGTATTTCTACATATTTTAGCCTCATTTATGTGAGTAGATGTGGCTGATTGCAAGTCTGGTTGGTGGAAACTGCGTTCGTGACATTTTTGGAAGCTACATAATGTTGGGATCAAAATATCCAAAGTTCTTCAGCCACACCACTCCTAACTCCATGTAAGTGGAAGATTTCGCGAAAATGAAAACTTCTACGGTTTGTTTGTTTATTGTTCTCAATATATGTGATGGGACTTAGCTACGTTGAATTATTTCGTATTGAAATCACCGATCTTGGTTTTTTCACAAATTCAGAATCCATTCGAAGAGCTAAAGTTCTCATGCATTCATGCATTCTTTCATTTGTGTTTACATACTATTATGTAAATATATAAACTCTTTCACACGTGTTCATATATAAAAGATTTTGGAGCATAATTTCTTCTGGAGCATAAATTCTTTCAAAAATAGAATTAACCACCAAATTGCTCGCAATATTCCGGAACTCACTCACACGGAGCTTTGAACCAGTTAAGATCTGGACTGTGGAGATTATATGATCGTGTATTGAAGCATTCAAGCGCTACATGAATGGATCCCAATAAATGAATGTTGTACATAAATGGTGATAAGCAATTTTCAACACCATGGAGCAGCTCTAGTATGATTCAAGGCTAAGGAAATTTGTTTCTTTGAAGATAGGCATGTCTCGAGCTTGATGCACAGCTTGCGATGCTTCAGACTTCTTGGCCAACACAGCCTCGGTTTTTGGAGCTTGAGCCTCCTTGTCTCCATCACTAACCATTTTCAGAAAGTATTGGTGCCTGTAAGAAGAACCCAGTTGCGAAGGCAAAACATCAATCCTTCTAGGTCGAATACGAACCACCACACACTATATGCCAGAAAGAAAGAACTTCGGATTGAGGAATGCTAGTAATCTTCTAGTTTATGAGGCTTGAAGTTTCGTATGCAGAACGAAGCAAGTGAAAGAAAAAGCTCATTTGGAAATATCTTATTCATGCTGTAATTTGAAATGGAGAAGGAAAATATACCATCGCAGGTCGGAGGTGAGCTCGGGATGGAACGCTGTTGCTAGCATGTTGTTCTGCTTCACTGCCACAATAACTTTGTCTTTGCTCCTATCCTTCAGCACACAAATAACAATCATGCCATTGGCACACGCGTTATCTCAGTACGTGGGTGAATATTGAGTCACAATCTATCAGGTGATGCTGATGCAATCAACAATCTTCATGATTATACGTATTTGCAGTAGAAAATAATGTTGAATACTGTCTATGGAAGCTGGCCCAGACGCTAAACTTTGGCATCAACTGAGTCAAAGAAATAGTCACCTGCTCAGGCAAATCAACAGCTTGCTTGGGTGCCAAGGGACACTCGGCCAACACTTCTACTGAAGAGCCAACGTCGATAATTGCAGGGGCTCGAATGAACACAGCACGGCAAGTCTGCGCACCTCCATCTGAGGCCAAAGATGGAACTGAGAGCTCCATCTCAAAGCTGTTTATCTGCATGAACATACACAATTTCACACCGATCTGGTTATACAAGAAGGGTACGCTGATTGAATAGAGCATTTCATGCAATCTGTCCTCAACAAAGATAAGACGAAATTTCCGGTGCAAGGGTCGAGGGTATAAATCAGCGTCGCTGATTACACGAGCACCTGGCTACCAAAAAAGTTGCGGTGAACAGTGCAATCAAGACCTCCTAGAAGCTCTTGGCCTCCTTCCTTCACACCTGTTCCCATAAGTGTTTCAATTGCATGTAAATATCTCTGATATGCAATCCCGGTTCATGTAAGGATATAACGTGGAATTCTCAAGAAACTCTGTTCGTCCTTAGACTCCCGAATAATCGAAGAATGAGTTTGGGAACTTATGCACAAGATAAGACAGAACGACGATTTGCAACAACAGGACACAACAATGGTTCCACACTCACCTACGGCTTTAGCTGCCAAGAAGATAAGCCCGGCGCACGTCCCCCAAATTGGTTTTCCGGAGCTTCCAAATTTTCGCAGAGCTGGAAACTGTAATAAGGGCATCATAGTGGGCATCAGCTTGAATTTGTGTCAACAAAGGAGCAAGGGACAAAATGGGAAAAATGCCTGCAAACAAATTATTTCATGACGGTCATCAGAATAGTGGACAGAAAACGACGCCGACGCGAAGCAGAGACAAATGTGGACGGACCAAATTGTTCTTCTCCGCGAGCTTAGCCATAGTAGTGCTCTCGCCTCCGGGAATGATAAGACCCGACAATTCCGCCAATTGCTCTGGCTTACGAATTTCCACAGCGTCCACGCCCAGCTTCCGCAAACCTGATTCTCCAACCCAAACAGCCGAAGCGAAGTCAGTCCACCTCAACACATCAGACTAAAATTCGCACTCCGCAACCACCAGCAACTAAGTCAACTACCAAAACAAAACAAAACAAAACAAAACAAAAACCTCCCCTAATTCAATCACTCCTTCCGATTCCCACCCCTCCAAACCACAACCACAACGACAACATTCTCACCTCACAACAACAACAATAACAACAACAACACCCATAACCCTTAGAAATCAAACAACACAGACACGAAAAACTCACAAGCGATGTGCTCATTGAAGGAGCCCTGCAGAGCCAACACTCCCACCGCCATAGCTGCAGAACCCGAGAATCTCCCTCCTCCTCCTCTTCCTCTTCCTCCTCCTCTGTTTCTGCTTCTGCTTCTTCTTCTCACCGCGGAGGATGGTATCCACAGAGAGAGAGCGGAGGTGAGATTGGAAGTGGAGGTGGGGAGTGAGTGAGTGAGTGAGTGAGTGAGGTGGGAGAGCAAAGTCCGCGAAGGGAAGGGAAGCTGAATGCGGTGGTGGTGTTGCGGCTTTGTCCCCATGTTGGGATCCCCCACCCCCCTCTCAACCGAAGCCACCCAGCCACCCACTCCCCTACCCGCCGCCGACCCCACCCGCGATTCTCCACCCGGACTCGGGCTGTATATATACGTACATATATATATATATATATAAACACTACTGTAGGTCGGGAATCTGCGTGGTGGTGGTGGTTCTCCTTTTGTCCCTATTGATAGATTTTGTTTTATTCGGGGTAGGGTGGAGGAGGGTAGTGGTGCCACGATGATGCATGAATGAGACTAATGTTGTTGTTGTTGTCGTGTGATTGTTGATTCTGGGAATTTATTGAGAGCTTGGTTAGGACAACGTTGTTTCTTTCTTTCAGGGTGGGAGAGGGTTTGGTTTCCAGCTGTTGCGGGGGGGATCTCAAAACCCTCACACAAAACCAGGTTTAGGGTTTTGTGAGGGTTTCCCTGCTTTTTGTTTTGACTTGTTCTTTTGTGTTTTGAGTGATTTGGGTGCCTTCGTGGTGTGGGCTTGTGCTTTCCGCCCTCTGGGTTGGATTTCTTTCAGCGTTGCCCGATCTGTTCTATTGTGGTGTCACATGTTGTGTCGTCATCTTGTGTAGTTTGGGTGATGAGAATCCATTTCTGTGACTGAAAATTGTTCTCTTTTGAAGAATTTGCTTTACTTGTTAAATAGGTTTACACAAGAAGTTTTCAAAAGCAATGCCAAAGGATGTATGTATGTATGTATGTATGTATGTATGTATGTATGTACACACATGTACATTTTAAAAGTTCTAATATGCATGTATATACTGAAAAGATTAGGAAAAATCACATAGAAAAATAGAAAAATATTTAAATAGATAAATAAGAAAGAAGAATAGAGTTTATTGCATTTAATTTGTTATCATGTAGGTATGAGTTTATCTCATATAGGAAGATGACATATGTTTTTTTAAACAAATGTGTTTTTTAAGTCTTTCTTGTGTTTGCAACTTAATAGCAGGTAGATTTGCACATGCTATAAGTTTTTATTGTACCTTCTTGAAAGATAGATTTTATATTTGTTACTTTTTTTTTAGAATTTGAGGATACCAACTTTAAAATCTGGATGTACTTTGAAGTTTATTGTCTTAGGGAGGATAAGGATTTGATTGGAAAATGATTATTGATTGTTAGGAAAATTTACATGTGTGCATTTGTATGATTTGGGAGACAAAAGATTTTGTATTTGGTTCTTGTGTTTTTGTTATTAAGGAATCTAAATAACACTTGTAAAATAAAACTTCTAAAAAGTGATTTTTTGTATTTAATGTTTCAAGTGCTTATCTAAAGTCATAAAGTGTTTTTATAAATACCTTCACCTTGTTGATATATGCTATAAAGTTTTTTCTATTCTTTTCATTAAAAAATATAGAATTTTCTTTTTTCTTATGCATATTATAAAAAGTAATTTATATTATGTTTCATTCTTAGATACCATCATTTATAATTTATTTATCTAGTAATAATGGTATTTATTTTATCATTTATAATGTATTTATTTAACTTCTTTTGTAATTTTATTTATTTATTTATTTATTTTCTTTTATTTTCTTTCTTTCAGAATTTCAAAGGCTTCAAGAAGAAATCCTTGTAGAAACTTATTGAAAGTGAAGCTTTAAAATTTTAAAATTCTTGATGGATTTTTAGCTGTTGTAGAAACTCTCTATTATCTTTCTAATTATATACTTCAATCTCTATGCAACAAAAAAAATCTATATATTGTTGTTTTAAATTTTTATCTTCTTATTTTATAATTATATTATTTATTTGAGTAGAAACAGTAAATATAGCCTTATTTTTTTTTGTTGCAATTAAGAATTTACTGGAACTAAAAATTGAAAGATCTCCTTAAAAAAGAATTAAAGTACAAAAGAAATTGGTATTACTTTTATAGATCCTTTGTTTAATAAGGTTGTATAAGGAGTTATATATAAGATGGATTTTCCTCTCTCTCCAATTTATTATAGGATTAGCTTTTCTTAGCCATTGTCTATTCAACAAGAGTTGAAATACTTTCATATTTAATTATATTTTTTATATATGAAATATAAGATTATATCTTTTATTTCTTGTAGTTACAACATAATTTTTTACTTGGCCAATTAAGATGTTAGAAGTTTGATTGGCTTTACTAATGATAATAGGTTGTGGCTCAAATACTTCTTTCTAAATTTTTATTTTATTTTATTTAAAGAAATTATATTAATGTTATTACTACAAAATCATCACTCAATGTTTTTAATATGATAATATGAAGTTGAATATGTAAAGATTTTAGTTCTTGCTTTATTTCTTTAGAATTTACATGAGCTATTAAATTTGGTTTATTTTAAGAATTAGACACTATATGTTTTTTTAAGATTTTTTTTAAATAGTTGGTGTAATGCTAAAGAATTGAACTATAAAAATACTAGTCTTAATTGAATATTACTTTGATTAAAAATTATTAGTTTATAAAGTCCTAACTTAAGATGATTTTGTAGTATTTTATTTTTATTTTTTAGACTTTTCAAACCACCTTCTATTAAAAATATCAAAAACAAATACTACTCTTGATAAAACAATAGTGGCATAAAAAAATCATCTTTATTTTTCTGTTTTAAAAAAAGAAAACATAAGTTCTAAGTTATCATCATTTTTAATATTTTTAGTTTATTGTGTTTCTTAAAGAATATCATTTGTTGTATTTTTAAAATAAAATAAAATAAAATAATGATTCCTCAAAATATATCTATTAGATTTCTCTATTGGATTTTGTAATTTGAATGACTTACAATAAATATAATGCATTTAAAAAATCAAATTAAGTAATATTTGTGAATAATAGAATTAGTTGATTCTTGTTCTTTTTCAATTGTGGTTCTACAACATAATATGGCATTCAACACATTAATAGATATAATTCTAATAGCTTGCAATCTTTGTTTGTAAAATAATATTTATTAGTTTAGATATAAATTTATAAAATTTCTATAATGTATTTATGGAGTAAACAAAAGTTTTTAAGTTGAATGATTTTATTTATAGTTATAGAAAACATGAGATAGTTTAGGATTTGAATTTATCTATAATATATTAACTCCTTTTGTATGCTTATTTTTTTATTTTTTATTTTTGATAGTTTTTAGAAAATAAAATTGTAAAATTAATCTTATTTTATTATCTAAAAATATCTATAGAATATATTTTTTATAATTACTGTAAAAAAACTTATTTTAAAGCAAACTCTTATTAAGAATGTAAATTCTACCAATGTATCTTAATTAGTGGAACTATTAAAAATAATATTTTAAATTATTCAAATAAAAAATGTTTATATTTGAAAGTCTTTTTTATTATTTAAATTTTTATTATAATTTAGAAGTGTCTATAGGATATAAGAGTCTTATTAGAAAAAAAAAAAAAAAAAAAAAAAAATCATTAAAATGGAGTCTTAGTAAGACTTGGAAGCAAGTATCATAGTTAGTTTAGTATTTTTGCTTATTATTAAGTTTTAATATTTAGTTAGTAAGACCAATGTCTAAATTATCTTTTTATCTAAATTTATTAATTTTAAAAAAATCATAAATTTTGGTTAGTAATTAATCAAAGCACAAGAATGAATTTTATGACTTTTTAATTATTTATATAGAAAATAGGATTAATAGATGATTTTAATTTATTTTATTACTACAAAAAAATTAATAAAGTAATAAAATATAGCTTTTAATTGATATTAGGATTACAAAAATATTATTATAATTTTTAAATTTAATTTAGAATTTATTTAAAATATTTTAGAAGTGTTTTAGAACAATTTTTAAGACTTTGATAAAAATTAGTTTTACCACCTTGGGAGCCATTATGAAGAAATGGAGCAAGATTTTAAGACCATACAAGGTTTTCAGGCTAATTGAAAGTTTTTGAATCCCTTGGTAAAGTCAAAAATATAAAATATTAGTTATACTAGTAGAAAATAGGAGAAGTACTAGCTAGTCTAGTCCTTGTATGAAGGGAGGTGCATAACTTCCAAATGGGTTGTAGCACCTTGGATGTAGGTAGGAGGATAAGACTAAAGCCTTAAGGCCTCTCTAAGATACTCATATATATTACTTGTAAGCATTGGGGAGGTTCAATTTTTTGACCTTTTAAGCAAATTATCCTTGTGATAAAAATGATTTACTTAACTTTTCTATTATTTACATTATATCTTTAAACTATCATAACTTACTTGCAATAGCTTAGATTTATATGTTTTATACATCATAAGAAAGATAAAAATATATAATACTTAAAAATATTTTATTTTATTTTTATTTTTTAATTAATAATTTTATAGAGTGTAATTGCTTGATTTTATTTATTTCACTTATTTTTTATTATTCTTCTTTTGTTCTTATTTATTCCTTCTTATTCTTTATACCAAAAATCACAAACAAGTCTTAGTTAAGACCATATTATAATTTGAGATTCTTTGTAAGAATAAGAAATAAATTTTATTCTTACAAAGAATAAGTATTTTTTTTGTATACATGCTAAATATTAAAATATAATGGTAATTTAAGTTTTACTTTTATTAACCTTAGATTTATTTATTTAGTCATATTTAAAATTCTCTCAATTGATAAAGATTTGATTTGATTTATTTTTATACCATATATATACAATTTCTATTTATGTGTAATAAATTAATTATTATAATTTATTTTAATTTTTATTACTTTAATTACAAATTATATATTTTAAATAATTATTAATTATTAATAATTTATAAAAAAATTATAATTTTAAAAAGAATTATTTAATTTTTTAATAATAGAAATATGATAGATTTTATTTTATCTAATAGATATGTATCTATTTATAGTAATTGATTATTATAAATCCAATTATACAACCTTATTAACTATCATAAATATACCTATAATTACTCTAATAATATGAATAGGTAGAAGTAAATAATAATTTGTTAATATCTTGTAGAAAATCTTTTTAGATACTATATACATGTAATTTCACCTTTA